ATGATGATGATGATCTGGATATCACAGAGATTGATCAAGCATTGTTAGATGGGAAGCATCCAGTATCATCTCAGAAAACTGAAGAAAAAGATGACAGGATAATAAATCATAAAGATTCTGTTAAGACAGACCCAGTGTTGAGAAGCCAAAGGTACATGTTTCATGGTGTGATTGCAATAGTTTTTGATGTTATACAGAGAATAATTTCAGATTGGCAGGAATAAGTTGCACACAAATAGTTGGAGCAACATTACAGAATGTTAGGTTGTGATGTGAAGCCTAATATGGACCTGACCAGGTACAAATACTGCTAGTTGTTTCATGCAGCAGGAACTGAAGTTAAACACCGTCATTGATTAACCATATTTATAAATGTGTGTTTTAATGTGTCAGAAGTGCAGATGCCAATAAAAGCTCAGTCCTGGATGACTTTTTCGGCAACTCATTCCCCTATCAAGGTACTAGATATTAACATATGATCGATCCAAGAAACATGTCAGAGAAAAAGAAATTCCTGTTATACAAATGTTATTAAAACGGAGAAGATAAAAGTTAAAACAACTCGGGGGCGATGACTGTGAAGAGGCACAGATGGTTTGCCAGCCAAGTTGGTTTGGTTTTTGCTTAAATAGAAAGGTGTTGGATCTAACAGATATAATTAGAGAGATGTTTACTGACATCCATTCTACCCTTGTCATTGTCATTTATCCTAACAGCGTAATGTCTTTGTCGTGTCTGTTCTACAAAATTAAACCATTATTGTGAGATGCATTTGATATGGATTCATATCTGTGCATGAAGGAACTGTCCTAAAATTGGGTCAATGAAATTGCACCACCAAACAGTGCAACGTTTGATTCAACCATTCCTTGCTCTGTTTTGCAGATTTGTTCACCACAGGAAAACGAGATCTTTCAGTTATTCCCGAGGCCAGCCAGGAGAATGCTAACACCTCTGCGTATCCTTTGACGTTCTTGTAAAACTGTAGCTTTGAATGCTTTAAGTTTGGCGACAGTCATTAGAGATCTATATACTAAACCCTATTTAACAATTAGATTATGAGCTCTCGATTTCTATGAGGTGATAGTTGATTCGGCCTTCGGCCTCATGAACTATCACCTCATAGAAATCTCGAACTCGTAATATAATAATTATTGTTAAATAGTAATTGGTAGTTTAGGAATTTGACTTAAAATAGTTAAAAGAAGGAAACAGAAGAGAGTTTTTGTTATGTGTTTTATACCCCCCCTCTTGAGTCGGACTTATTTATTGACCATATTGTGAAAAGTTGTGGATGGAGACCGAAGACCAGACGAGAACTGAAATTAAACATGCTAGTCAAGTTCAGTTATTTAGGGTTTATGGTTTTTCTCTTTGCTTTTTAAAACTCGTCACTGGATCAATGGATCTTCTTCCTGGGTATATGGTTTATATATTATAACAGACATGTATTCTTGAACATCACGCAAATGTTGTCATCGTCATTTTCCTTAATCTGTGATTAGCCGCAGTGCAAGACCCATACAGACCCCGCCAAGTTCAGGCACAGGTATTTCCAGTGTGACTCAAGTATAAGCCCGATTAGAGCGGTTTTCATTTGAGTGTCGAAAAGTAATTGGTTTTGCATAACTATGCTACACCATTGGCTTAAAAAACTCGCGCCACTTTTTCATCCAATCAGAAGTAAAACTAAACCAATCGTGACTCGCGCGCACGCGTTTTCCCGCGCTTTGCGAATGCTACATGTAATTGTATCGAGCTTTGATTGGTTTGTTGGATTGTTTGTGTCCTTTGTGATTGGCTGGAGTGATTACTTTGGTTTTGGTTTTATGACACTCAAATGAAAATTGCTCTAAATGAAAAAGTCAGTAAACAGAGCTTATTGTATGACTTGCATGCTATTTTACAGATGCAGTCCATGTGCAGTTATACATATACACGGTCTTACCAATTTCAGAGAACCAACCGAGAAAACTTGAATGTCTCCTTCAGTTGAATTTTTAATATGTCTATAAAGTTGTAATTGAATGAATGAATGAATGAATGCTTTATTTAACGTGGATATACGCTTAGCTTGAGAGCTAGTTTACAGGTATTCCACCTAATAACTAATGTATTTTAGTAACCAAAGCAGTTAAGGTCGGCACACACGAGGGGACTGGTCCCTGCGACCAGTCCCTGCAACTAGTCCCCTGAAGAGTTTACACGAAGGGACTGGTCGCAGGGGCTTGTCCCACGAACAGTTCACACAAAGCGTTTTGAAGAACAAGTCGCCATGACTCGTTCCAAAAATTCAAACTGGTTTGAATTCGTGGGATTAGTCGCACGGACCAGAGTGCGACTAGATTTTGAAGCGAAAGTGGGTAGTTCACACGATGGGACTTGTCTCGCGACCTGTTGCAGGGACTAGTCTTAGGAACTAGTCTCCTCGTGTGTACCGACCTTTGTGACTCGGAGGGAAAGACATGTTCAACGCGGCCTGCCAGCTAGGAGACTTAGTGCGACAACGTTTCTTAACAGCGTAGAGTTAAACAACTTGTTCTCTGTTTTTCCCTGCAGAAGTATCGTTTGTGAAGAATGTGGACATGGTAAGAGAATGTTGGTCACTTTTGAGCTTTGCAAACAAATTTCGACAAAGTGTATTTAAGTATGAAAGATTAAGGTCTTACTTTCAAATTCTCATACACTGAATTCTTAAGGGTTTCTGAAACGTTTGCGATTACTCGACAAGTTCGGTTGTCACCTGCAGTTGTATCACCCCAGCTTTCAAAATGATTGTATGCAGAACCTTTTTGAGATTGAAGTATGGCAAAGATTAGACCCAGCCTAGATATTGGGCGCTGTTCATTAAGGGCCGGGCACCGAGCAAATTGACCGGCTGTGATTATGATTTTGCCCGCTTGGTTTGGCTGTCTAGAGGAAAGTTTTTCTTATTAAGAAGTTCGGTTAAAAAGGTTAGTTTGCCCGCCTTTGAAAAAAACAGTTGCCTTCTTGCTGAAAACGTCAATGAAACCCGTGCTTAACTATGTTTTATCAGTTGAAACAAGCATTATTGTAATATCACTGCCAGACAAAATGTATAGGTCACTCAGTCTTGTTTTCAAATCAGCCTTCTCTTGGGGACAGTTGTGTGAGCCCTGACGGCAACTCACTGAAACAAAGCGGTAAAAACAAAACAAGAGGACATGAACTTGATGACAGCCTGATGGATGTGGTGGCTGATGAGGACTATGACTTTATTCCAGGGACTCCGCCACATAAAAAGGTAAAGACTTAGCGCAACAAATGTTCTTTGTGCCAAGTTTCACTGCATTGCTTACGTAGCACCATCGCTTGCCCCGTGCATAACCCTTTGGGCTTGCAACAAAGGGTGACGAATATCGTATGTAGCGTTTTAGCCCGAGGTGACTTTCCTGTCAAATCTGTGAACTGCGCATTCATTTTTTAAGTTAAGCTTTTAGAGTAAACGTGGCCACATTCTCGAGTCCGTTGATGTATGACCGAGTCACCTTCTTTACTGGCCAGTGAACGAAGAACTTTTAAAGGTCAGAACAATGGCTCTTTTCTCAATATTTGGACTTCTATTAACCTTATTTTCTTCAGATTCCATTAAACCTTTTAATTTCTACTCTGTAATGTAGTTTATGTCTGAATGATGTATTTTTGTATTCTTTCAGTTTAAATCCATGTTTTTCAGCGCATCGAAAAGTCAAGTAAGTTTTTAACCCTGTTTAGTTTTGTACTGTTATGTGCTGTGCTGTGTTGTGCTGTGTGAGAAATTTGAAACGTAAAGGCCTGGGAAACTTATAAGTCTTTTGGCAGTTAGGTAACAGGGAAAGACACGTTGCAACTTAATATCTTTCGTCTTGTATTGTAAATAAAAAATAACAATTTTACCTCTGCAGTGTTCTTACTGAAGTGCTTTGTTCCGTTTTGTTCACAGGGTGTGTCACAAGATGTTGTACTTGCCGCCGATAGTGACGAAGACTAAAGAACAATTGTTTACCCTTGTCACAACACCGTCACTACTACTGCAGATGTGTCACGCAACATTATGGCAGACTTCAAAATGGGAATAACTGTAAGACTGCTGCTCAGCCGTTATGGCATGGCCGATAAGTGTAACTATGCGGAAAGATCTTTTCAGTATTCTGGAACTTAGTTACATTGGAATCTGGCCGTAAAGACTTTGCTCGTTGAGGAAAAGAGGTGTGCCAGAAAATTGTGAGTTAGCCGTCTATTGAATTATCTAGCCTTGTTAGCTGGTAGGATTTCACGAACTGAGCAAAGACAACAAGAACGTTTTCTCCTGTATAACACCTTTTATTAAGAATAAACAATGGTTGGACTGACTTATACATCCGTTTTAAGAAAATCGCTTCAGAGAGTCGATAACACTTTCAACTTTGTAAGAAACGTAACGTAAAGTAAGTTTGAAAAAGTATGAAAACTATATCTACTATAACAGTTGCCATGCTGCAATCAGAGCTGTCTTAGCCATTGTGAAAAACATAACACTGACATGAACATGTTCAGAACATATTAAAGATATTGCTTGAATGTTTACATTTTGTGTCGACGTCGTTTATCTTACTTGCTGACAGTTTTTCTTAGTTGTTTAGTCGCAAATTTACAACACCATGTAGATTTTAATTCAAACAACGGTGAGTATACATTTCAAAATCTTACTATAAATTATGATAAATGGACATGTCCTACGAGAGCTTGCGTGACATAGTACGTGACAACTGACGGCAGACACTATATAAAATTCGTAGATTCCCCTGCATGCACCGATGTTCTTCGAACGTTCTTCACGATGAGTAACGATTGCGTGACGGATAAAAATTGTGTGGCAAGTAAAATTGAAGCTCTACGCCTTCTAGCTCCTATTTCGTATGCAATATTTCCCATTTCTCTTTGCCAACTCTTTACAAATAAATCAAGTAGAAATCAGTAAAATTCCATCAGCATGCTGCAACATATACGAATGTTTGATTGCGCGACGCAGACAACACGTAAACAAAATGGCGAGAACGTGTAACGCCATCACGCCTGCGCCGAGCGAAATCATAAACGTGATATGCTTCGAGAAGAACTCCTTGCGAAGCAGACAGCCTTCTGTATGGACAAACCTCTCGGCTGGTTTGTTAGGGGTGTCCAAATCGTTTCCGCAACTCGGCAGATGCGTGGTGTTGGAAAGACAGCAGGATCGCGGGACACTGTTGACCCAATTCTGCGCGCTGTTTTTCTGACGTTGGTTGTTCCACTCCGAGTTAAACCAGTCTTTGTAGCTTTTTGAGCCGCAGCAGTGGTACTCACGCTGGATCTTGTCAATTAGATGTTGTATGTCTTTATCTTCCTCGTACTTGCTTAATATATTGTCAAGGAAATCCTTAAGGAATTTCGCTAGGCTAAAATGCGCGAAATACAACCACAATCCCAGGGCGATTTCTGCAATCAACAGCAAAGTCAGCAAGTACGAGAACACTTTAAGCGTGTAGTAGTTTTCTCTGATGGCGCCATAACAGCCAGCGAACCCTAACACCCCTATAACACATCCTACTCCCATAAGGATGGCTGTGGCCGAGGTGAAGCCTGTTTGAGTGATGTTCTTGTAGTCGCCATACAGGAGTTCGCCGAGTCCACCGATCACCACAAGAGCCACTATGGTCAACCAGAACAGCACGTTGAAAAAGAACATCAAAAATTTGACCCACCGCATTGTACCGACTATCCTGCTCCTCATTTTGAATAGCTGTGTTGGAGAGAATTACAAACGGTAGAGGTCCTTGTTGCAAAACGACTGACCCATTGGTATTGCGTAATTAATGTGAAACCTGATGTCACAGAAGAGGTCAAGGGAAGATTACGTGACGATGGTGTCCGCGATCATTACCCTGGCATTTATAGCCACACCGTGCATTTAAAATACCTATTACGTGCGTTTGTTTGAAAGGGAGAAAAGGGTTGAATGGGCCTTTTTAGAAAACCGTCCCTAAAAGTGACGGTTTTCTCTACCCTTCTCTAAACTTGAGTGCATTACTGTAAATCACTGCCTTTTGATATACCTCCAACCTAAAAACACTTTCGGGTGGAGCCTCCCAGTATAGTCCATAACGGGGAGTTCCCCCGGGTATACGGTAAAACATGGACTTCCGCATGTTGACTCGCGCTTTGCGCTCGTTAGGCTCGATTACTAGCCGCTGTTCGGGAAAGGAGACTGCGCAACGTAGACCAGACACGAGAGAGCGGCGCAAATCGAGCCTAGGCGCTCGTGTCTTGCCAATAAA